AAGTTGAGGGTTTATATAAGGTCCCTCAATCCTAAACCCTAAACCCTAAACCTATGGCTGCGGGTTCAGGGTTTAAGGTTTAGGGCTCAGGGCTTCGGGTTTGGGGCTCTGAAGGCATCACAAGTTCGAGGAAAATGCGCATTGCAGAGCAAGAAACAGAGTGGGGCAAAACGAAGAATTACCTACTCAAGGGGTCGGGGCGGCAGCTATGGCAAAAGCACTCAAGGACCCCCCCGATCCATGCTTCAGGCAGTTGGGGCCGCCTGGCCTCTGGATTGCTGGCGGCGACTACAGCTTGCCCAGCCTCGGTTACATGAGCCCTTGCAGACTTAAAAAACCGTTGGAGTAAGAGTTCAGTTCCTGGGATGTTGGGATCTTGCAGCAGAAGACAGCACGGGCGGCCTGGCATCCCAGGCACTACCCACAGGTACCATGGGCAAGCACTTTCTACTTGGTCAGGTCTATGTAGCACTTTCTACTTGGTCAGGTCTATGTGCCGACGTCGACAATTTAAAAATACGACACACTACTTGTTGCAACAGGCAAGATGCAGGAGCAAGCATGCCTCGCTTGATCAGCCCACAGCGGGCTTACATGTGTGCCGTTGGGGGTCACCGGGCATACCGTGAATCGAAGACTGCTGACTTGCAGCTCAGCCGGAAAGCCGAAAAGTTAGGATAACATTATTATCGAAAAATACTGCGAGGCATGGATGACAGAACATCTAGTCTAACAAGGACATACGTGCCCAAAGCCGTCCAAAGGCAGCACTGCCCCACCACAGTTTCAGACGATGGCGTCTGCTTTTGTACGTAAAGGGGTTGTTGTAGCCAGCAGAGTCGAGACTTCATGCGGTTCGCGGTAGCACGGCAGGGGTGTAAGAGAAAAAGGATGAGCTAACTCCAGTATGCAATTGACACGGCACTCACGACGTCCTGTAGCCGACAAGTGCATGAAGATTTCCTCAGTTATTCGAATGTTCTCGATCAATTGATGCTGGTCTTCAGCGGGGGATCTGCGTTTCGGGCCTTGTTGTTCGGAATGCATGGGCCCGAGGAATGGCGCCATCCAGACGGGTGAAGAGACGGCCATGAAAATCATCAAGGAGTTACCATCGAAAGTGATTGTTTGAGAGCTGCAGTCGTCGCAAAAGGCGCATGTAGCGGAGATTTTGTTACGTTTGAGCAATGATGCGATGAGGTTTCAGCACTGGCTACCCACATTGTAGCGATCATGAGTAACCATGATTTGGGCTTGTGTTGCCTATCTAGATTGCCATCTAGGCGGACCGACGTTAACCCTCTCCGGCATAGGTTGCCATTGCCGGTGAGGGATAGGCCTCGCAGCTGCACCCTACACCGCAATCAAAAGCTCATGCCGAAGCGCGCGGGTCGCGTGGTGGTTGGCCCGGCAGACACGTGTATTTCGGCCGAGCGCCAGGCCAGAAGTGCTTGGTTGGGACTGTGCTTGCGAGCCGAGCTGTTCTCACCTGGGCATCATGTGGTTCAGTTTAGGACAGCAGCCAGATGTGCAGACACGGCTGACTGGCCAATACCTGCGCACATGCACAGCTATCAAAACCGTTGCTCAGAACTCCTCTGTGGCCTTGACACATTGGCACAATGCCGATGTGCGCCTTTGCAAGCCCAGCTCACATGATTAGATCACCGGCTGTCCATATGACCCTATGACGGCATTGACTGCGATCAAGCCTCAGTTCTCCAAGGATTGACGACACCATAAAGATGCTGGACGATCACCTGGCTGACGTGTATCACGAGGTTGGGCTGGCGGCGGGAATCCTGGCGTGTGAAGCCATTCAGCGTTTTCTGTCTCATGATGCTGTGGCTTTCAAGAACAGGCTGAGCTGAGGCTTGTCATCAAGATGCATGCATATCCAGCGAGAACATTTAGAAGAAGTGAGCTGCTAGAGCCACTGTAGTAGAGTCATGACTTAATGTTGTGAGTGGAAACTGATTCTTCCAGAAGGAGCGTACTCTGCCGAATTTGTTTCGGAAGCTCCTGAGATGTTGTGCTTCGAGATGCAGATGGTAGATGGTTGTAGTATTTGATCGCATGAAGAGTGCAGCAACAAGAATAGAACATCCGTCAGATTCGTAAACTCTTGGCCGCACGTTCTGTTCGTCTTTGTTAGAACAGCTGCTCGGTAGACCTTGCTTGGATTGATTATCCCATCCAGAAAATGGAAGCTCGCCGCATGGCCAGATAAGCTCCAAGTAGAGAGCCCTCTATGATTTCAGCCGATCCTCTCTTGTGAAGTTGGTATGGTCAGAACTCAACTTCGATGCTTTGAAGCCAAACAAGCCTCAACAAAGCCCAGGATGAGAGAGGATCAAATTATGTTCTGTCCCTGGCTCGTTTGGGAAGGTCGACTGCACTCGCATCGCCCTGGACCCGCGCTTCAAAAATATGGATGGATCCATAGGTCTGGCCCTGATCTCCTTGAGCACTTCCAGAAAACTCTGAGTGTCTGTTAGCCATAAGAGCAGAGTGTCCTCGTGGCCCCCACAAGAACCCTCGCAGACACCGTGAGGTGCAGTCTACTACAACTTCCCACATGCCGGGGCCGCGTGGGTCCAATCCTCAGTCCTGAGTCGGGGCCGAGACATCCCGAGCCCTCAACCAACTACGCGCAGTTATGCGCAGAGCCTCACGGAGTCGTGGTTTCCACAGCCCACAGCGTGTCTGGTTGGTGCAGGTGTTCGTGGCATCCGTCTTTGTGTGTCCAGCGAACAAGCGCAGAACACGTTCAACACGAGCAAAGTCAACGCATCCATGAGACAGCGAGGGCAGCAGTTTGTCAATCATTGCTTTCGGGATCTGTTTCGAACCGGATGAGCGCTGCTTCTAGATTGATCTTCTCCCCTTATCATAACAAACCCTCTTGATGTATGTGTGAAAGATCGCTCGGCGAAGATCGGGCTTGAACTTAACGGAACAGTTTAGGGGACAGCCAGGCTTGTGCTAGTTTTACGAGGACCAGTACCATGCACAGTACTACCCATAGGCTCCTTAGTAGTTCCTTTTTGGGATTACCTTATAGGATTCTATATATGAGCCTATGGGTAGTGATAGTACAGGTAGGAACCAGTGGTATTGGTCACTACGCATAGGCCGTATAGGGGTGGTGTTGGTACTGCAACAGTGAAATTGGGCCGGAAAATCTAGATATCAAGAGCAGTCTTCGAGGTCGGGTCGCTTGGGCTGGGGCTTCAACCATGAAGCATGTAATTCTCTTGACCTTCACTAGCGGATCCTGCCAAAATTGACACTGTCAGCATCTCCGGACGAAGTGGCAGGGTTGTCCCATCCCTGTCAATGTCGACCCTACCCTGATCAGGATCCTCACCTCCATCCCATCCCAGAAATCCTTGGAACTTGACATCATAATGCAAGGTAACAATGTAGGAGGGTGTCGAATCTTCGAAGCTTCTGCAAATGCCCAGGTTGACCTCCAGCCAGGGCAAGGGCATGTCACAGGCTTCTACGACACGCGGCAAGGGCATGGTACGGTTGTCGGTCTGATTTTACCTTACTGTAGTGTCCTGCGCCAACCAACTATCTATAGATCTGACCTGAAAGAGTGGGTGCAAGGTAAATAGCGCATGGGTTTCCCAGAGGGAGCATCTTGGTCTAGGTGAGGACCTAGGCTACGACTCGCATGGCTTGAGGGCCAGCACTTCTTGGCACAAGGGTCTGAAGAAGCGACGAGTCGTCAGCGACGCGACGTAGGCGTTCATGATATTGCAGTACGTATGTCTTCGTTTGCTGTGTACACCGACCACGGCCTGATTCAACACAGCACCACACCCAGCACTCAGGATAGCCATCCTATTGTGAATTGGCGTCACGAGAATCTGATGCGACTGCAGCTTGGCTTAGTGGGGTTTAGATTTCTGTCGGATTGGGACTCCCAAACCTATGGGGACAGAAAGAAAGCCATGTCTTGCAGTTTTTGACACCAAAATATCGCGGCTCGCACAGCATTTGACAGATGTGCACGAGTATGCAAAGCATCCTAGCAATTCCAGAGTCATGCGGCTTTCAAGTTGCGCAGGGCTTCCTGACGGAGGTGTGTAATCCTGCAATAAGTGGGTCTTGCCTTTCAATCTTCTCCATTGCTTCATTCAGCCAGTGTTCGGAAACCTTTCCCATCACAGCACATGTACCAGAATGTACCATGGGTTCCACCGGCTTGTGCGAGACGTGTCACCCTCAAGGCTGCCTAGGTACACTGCCCATTCCTGAACATTCCTGTGTCGAAAAAGATGCACTACAAGTAGTTTGTTTTTTGAGTCATCATTAGTGTTTTCGTTGTGAATGAACGCTGCCACAGGTTCTTTCGCAATCTGCGCTACTTCGTGAAGCCTGGCGGTCTTGTCAAGATCGCATCGAACATGGGAGCTGTGGGTGTGCGCTACTCGTACATTCTCGGAAGCTCATCTTCGAATTGGCGAGGGGAGCTGTGGGCCGTTTCAACCCTGGAGCCCCTTCAGCTTTGTGACCCCAACCCCGCTGAAGCCCAAAGCCACCACCGCCACCATAACCCGAACCCTGGCCTTTGTGTTGCATCGTTGGCAGTTTCTGCCAAGGCTCGGCGGAGCAAAACGAGTTTCAGCCTCTCAGACTGCACAAACGGCCGCCGCAACTTGCTTCTCACGCAGAGCCATATGTATATGTTTGTGCATCTGCAGCAGCTGCACAGATATATCGTCTTTTAGTACGATCTGCGGGTGCTTTATGCCACACATCGTGGCAAAGAGCCGTCGTCGAACACATCCCAAGCTGAAAGCTCCAGAGTTCCAGAGCGAATGCTCAAGATCCCGAGCCCCACCAGTTCAGCTCGGAGCCCACAGAGCCCAGAGGCACTTAGATGGAGTTTCCCTCATCGATCAGCCCTGAACGTCGCAAGCCCCGCAAATCCGAGAACTCCTCCTAAAACTCGTTTTGCATATAGCCCATAAATCCACGCAGCCTTCATCCTTGCACCCCCTGTTAGTGGCTTGGTCCGCATGCGTCCACATGAGGCATGTGGAGACGGTCCCTTTTTTAGAGTGGTCGCTGCTCTGCCTGCATTGGAATTCCCTCCCCATGATGCAGTCGAAGTTCGTTCTTTCAGAGGGTCCGGGGTTTCGGGGTTTGGACGAGAAGCGAGACCATGTCATAATTTGGTTCGCCTTCAGTTGTTCTTAGATTGTAGTCATTCCTCCGGCTGTAGACGCTTGGCACGAGCTGTCTAGCACGGCATAGCAATCATCCCACAGCTTTCTTCGGTGATCCGTTCACGATTTTGAGGCTGGATGCAGGCAATTTGTAGGGAGCATCTTGCTTCGGTCCCGTTGGCATAGAATGCCTTTGAAGGTTCAGTGCAGCTAGGTCAGGACATGGGGTATTTGGAAACAGAGCAGAAGCTCCAGTCTTATCACCCCACCGCGCCTTGCAGACAGCTCAAGGCTCCATCGGTATGGGCGTGCATATGGTGACCGACGTGACAAGAAGCGTCTTGGACACCAGGGGTTTCAGGGAGGGGGAACCTGGCGCCGACATTCGATCAGCATTTCCGTTGGGTATTCTGCTAACACCAGATTCAATGACTACGTCTATCCCACAACCTCGAGGAGATGTATAGTGCTCTTCCTACGACAGTTCAACTCAACAAACGAAGCACCCGGTGGCCGCAGAGAGCGTCCTTGAACGTTTTTTGTACGGGTCGCATTCAAAGCGAGATTGGGAGCCTCAACACAGAACCTGCACGGCCTCAGAGCTCAAGGCGCAAAAGGCCAGAATTAGCTTGGAAGCCTCACCAAGTCCGACAAACAATCGGAACTGTGTCGAAATTCGCTGAAGCGCAATCCTCGGGACATGCCCATACTGGAAGTAAGGTACTGCTTTGACTTCCAACCGAGCCCAAATGCCCTGGGACTCCAACCACTGCCTGCTGAGGAAACGGCCTGGCGATGGCCAAGGCGCTGCTTCCCAGGGCAAGAAAACGGGCTTTCCCCGGGGTGTTTAGTCTCAGGTTTTGTGGGAGTCTTCGATGTGATGATGTAGCTCCGACTTGAAGCCGCCACTGCCTGTGATTGTGCTCTCATTCCTCGATCAATGATGTCATCGAATTGAGATGTTGTTGGCCTTGGTATCAGCTTGTGTTGTTTTTTGTTCGGTTGTCGAAAGGGCGGTCGGTTGCTTTCCTCCGTCTGCAGCCGGCTTCTGCACTCCTCGGCAATGCACGGACCCAGAACTAGATCCTATCAGAGCCGACTGCGGAGTCTGCAGGCTACAATGCGCAGAAAGCAGAGTCGGACATGGTCTACACCTTCGAGCGCGAATCCTACTTCCCATGTTTCGTTGCATTCGCACTTGTTAACTATGTTGGTAGTTGTGGGGGTCAAGCTTCGGTGGCATCTCCAGCGTCTCCACCGTCGCAGTGTGCGTCAAGTATTCGGAGCCGCCGCGAACATGTTTGGGATCTGGAGTCGCCAGTGCAGCGTTTTTTGTTTGCCAGTCAACGTGTTCGCTAAATGTGCTTGAAAACTTCAGGCTAGCGGCTCGCCTTTGCAGCCTGAAATTCGGGTTCAGAGCCGGTTGAGTGTTCCAGGAGTTGACTCGGAGACTTGAGCTTGCTGTCTCAGCGGTGGTGCTCTATCCAGGTATCGTCCCAGCGGACGGGAGTTGCCGATTCAGGAGATCAAGTCCTCTGGATGCATGCAGCAAGGAACACGTGTATGGCAGGCTTACAGCGCGGTGTCACGATTTCTGGCAGTTTTCGATACAATCCTTGGCGTTTACCTTGGGTTGCATTCTAACCCCGAACAAGCCGGAAGGAAAAGAAGTGTCAACAAAAAAGGAGAAACCCTTCCACGACCATCTGCAATTATCAGTGCAGGATTCGGCCAAGCAGAAGTCGAAGGTCCACAGCCTTGTGTGACGGGGAAAACCACAAAACAGAGCCTTCACTTAACACTTACAGATGATTGGCTAGGGCTGCAGCCTGCTGCAGTGTTTATGTCAGGGCGGTCTTACCGTCGTAGGTCGTCTTGAAACACGGGGAGCCGCAGCACAACGTTCGCTGCCAACGGGAGCTGTCTGCCAAGGTTTCCACCGACTTTCCAGACGATCATGGGACGCTCTGCTGCATAGTGTATCAGTTCATCAATTCGACGGCCCAGAAATGTAGCCTCATCACCCATCACCAAGACGAAATGTGACGTGATTGAGAGCCACACGCCCCAACCCCCCGCCCGGAGCAATCTCTGATAGAAAGGACTGCACCGCGCTACACTTTCTCCAGTCCTCCTTCAATTCTTGCTTATCTTCAGGATGTAATGACGGTCCCTTCAAAAACCTCGATCCGGTCTCCGCCAAAGCTTTGGCGAGGCGGGCGGGCCGGTTTGTTCATGGTAACTTTCAATTTCCATGCTCACTTCCAGTCTTGGTCTTTTCCACCCACTTTCGGAGGCAACTGCACGAGCGCTTCATCAAGGAGGTCTCTGGAATTCACGTTGGCTGAGGGCTAGGACTAGGATTCTCGGTTGCCTGTTGTTGTGCGACTTCTGGATCAACGCCACACAGTTTGGCTTGGTCCTTGGGCTGTTTACAACGGAGGAGAAAGATTCAACCGTACTCTGACTGGGCTCTAACTGTTACTACACGACGGTGGGAGGGAGTGCGAGACGACATAGTGCGTGCCGGAGGAAAAATTGGTGCTCCAGTCACATCCGGCAGATTTGCAGGCACAGCTTTTCGTGCAGGCGGTGTTCAGGAAGTGAAAGCTTGAAGTGCAAGTCAGCTACACCCCAACTCTCGGGTTTTAGTCTAGCAGTCGCGGCACCGTGCGTGCTCCGTGCACTTCCACCATTGGTCGAAGCCTTTGAACGTGCGATTCTGCTTTCGACCACTGTAGGTGCATTTCTGCATTCCAGGTCTGTGCTGTTGTCGGCTCAAGGGCAGTGGAACAGCTTTGGGAGGGTAGAGGGCACGAAGAGGATTCCTGCAGCCATGGCAGACCAACTGCCTCGAACTTAGCTTCGAGACAGATCCCGTAAGGGCAGTGCTGCACAGAATCTCAAGCCCTGAAGTCGCGGTGTCCAGCATTTGGGCATGAACTCTTCGGCGCAATGCTTGTGCATAGGGCCGTTCCGTCTCTCGCATGTTGGGCATGTGCAGCTCCACAAGGACGGAAGAGCAGATCGAGGAGTTTCGTGAGGCATTTGCTCTCTTTGCAACTCAGCAAGAAGCCTGCCCGGTTCCGCAGAAGATAAGTTGCAGATTCATGGCCTGGTGTCTCATGTTCGGAGCGCGAGTGCTTGGGAGTTGTCATATCCCCCCTGAATTTTCACGTAGCTGCGATGTCAACTTGAAAGTATCTGTCATGCACAGCTGTGCCGAATGCAGTGCAAGCCAGGGACACTACTTGCAAATGGAGTGACTACATGCTATTGGTGTTGCCCTATCGGTATTTCACACAATGGCAAGCTGCAGAACCCTAAACTCTTAAACCCCAAACCCCTAAACCCTAAACCCTAAGATTGCAACCGCCTCGGGAAGCCTTGAGCTGAGGCAGGCGATCGAAGCCCTGAGGAGGAGGCCGAGCTACTGGAGTGGAAGGAGCGCCGAGAGAGAGTTTTTCACTCCTAGTTCGAGTTTGGGGCTGTTGCTTCGAAGTTCCTGCCGGGGGCAAGCGTGTAGAGGGTCAGCATTCAGGCCTTCGCGCACTGTGGCCACGGGGTTTTGGAGACGGGCTCAGGTGGCTCGTGCTTGAGACTCGTGAGGACTGCAGCACAAGAGGAGCTTCCTTGTAGAGATAGGAGCTGTCGACAAGCAACTGCCATTGCGAATCGCAGTTAGGAGAGCTGCGCGGCCATCCGTGCAGTGTGGAATGACGAGGACAGTCTAGGGCCTACCCTAACCCTCCAGGTACCTACTATATAGGGCCCTAGCGGTTCTAGTACCCTATATAGTACGTACCTGGGGGGGGTTAGGGCTAGTTAGCGAAGTGTCAACAAGTGCCCTGTTTACGCTGTCTGTCGTCGTTGTGTCTGTCACTTGTAGCAATCCTCCTTGAAGGGAACAGCTACATTCCTTGTCCGGTTGCGGCGGCCT